TGATTGGTTGTTACCGTTTACACTGCGTGGAATGGTGCGCTGTGATTGGTTGTTACCGTTTACAGTGCGTGGAATGGTGCGCTGTGATTGGTTGTTACCGTTTACAGTGCGTGGAATGGTGCGCTGTGATTGGTTGTTACCGTTTACAGTGCGTGGAATGGTGCGCTGTGATTGGTTGTTACCGTTTACTATTACTATTACTATTACTGTTATAACTATTAGCAGCAGTAATAGCAAAGCTTTCCTTATTATGCATTGTTTATAGTATCATCATAAACTATCCACATCAAACTAATCAAATTCTGATTAATTTAAATACATTATGATCTGCTATAGTTTCACAGTAAACTGCTTCAGATCATGGAGGTAAAATGTGACTGTGGACCACAAAACCAAGAGATACAACTATTTGAAAATCTGGAATCTGAGGGTGCCAAAAAATCCAAATATTCATAAAATCGCCTTTAAAGTTGTCCAAATGAAGTTCTTAGCAATGCATATTACTAATCAAAAATGAAGTTTTGATATATTTACAGTAGGAAATTTACAAAATATCTTCATGGAACATGATCTTTACTTAATATCCTAATGATTTTTGGCATAAAAGAAAAATCAATAACTTTGACCCATACAATGTATTTTTGGCTATTGCTACAAATATACCCCAGCGACTTAAGACTGCTTTTGTGCTCCAGGGTCACAAATGTGTTTCAAACACACAAATGCAAATCAGATTTTCACTCAATGCTGTGGCTGGAGTCACTCACCTGCCTCTTTGCTCTCCGTCGCCCCCTGCTGCTCGTCCAGACGCAGGTCACTCAGCAGGTGCTCCAGGATCTTCTGGGGCGTCCCGGACACCACCACGTACCTGCGGGACAGAGCAGAAGAGGAAGAGTCGGATGGATACTCGTCCTCAGAGGAGGAACACGTCGAGCAGGAGCCGCTGTTAATAGCATAACCATCATCCTCATCCTCGTCAATGTAACGAAAATGAGGAATGTCAAACGTGGGCATTTCATCCTCAACCTCCAGACTGTTGCTGTACTCCCAGTCTTCATCATCACAGTCATCCTCCTCTGCCTGCACCAGTGTGACGGGTCTGAGTTTGAGGAAAGACTGCCGGTCCATTCCAGGCAGCTGCGAGCTGCGTCATGCCCAGCGTGGTGGTCTGATCCCAGGCTACAGGGACGATCGACTCCCCCTGAGCTGCTGGATAAACTCACACCAGCCTGACAAACACGGCCGATGCAGCAAAACACACAGATTTGCACACAAACACCAACTAAGAATTCATGTTTACATGCACAGGCAAGTTTTAGGCTGTCAGTGGTTCCTGCTCAAGCTGTAATGAGGAAGAAAACGTCAGGAACGTGTTTGAGAGAGAGAGAGAGAGAGAGAGAGAGAGAGAGAGAGAGAAAGAGAGAGAGAGAGAGAGAGAGAGAAGGACTCCACCCACAACCCAAACATTCATAAAGAAATTGACAAAAATCTGAAGTATAATTGAACAAAATTTTTTGTTAAAAAAACAAAAACATATTTGACCTCCAAACCAAACTCCAGTGTTATTCAGCCCTAAATAGAACCACCAAACTGGCAAATATGACTTATCACTCAAACAATTAAAAGAAAGTCAAATGAGGAGTTTATTTGCAAAAACAGATTTAATTTTCTTTTTTTTTTATTGTGTTTTATTGTGTTAGTTAGCTGTATTTTTTACTTATTTTTTGCCTAATCAAAATACCCGACTGCAGTTTGATTGAGATTCATTCGAATGCACAATGAAAAAACATGATTTTTGAAAATTGTTAAAAACGCAGTTATCTGTTTTTGCAAATGACCTCTTCAACTCCTTTCAAAATATCGACTCAGTGACCATGACTTAGAAATAGAGAAAGTAAGACATAAAAAATCATTTGACATGGCAGTCAAACTAGCTGCAAAATATGTATACACCATACAAAATGGTTAATTAATTGTATTCATTTTAGTGCTGTCTAACGATTAATCGCAATTAATCGCATCCAAAATAAAAGTTTTTGTTTACATAATATATGTGTATATTGTTCATATTTATTATGTATATATAAATACACATGCATGTATATATTTCAGAAAAATATGTTATGTTTATATTTTAAATATATTTATATATAATATCAATTATATGAATATAAATACGTAAATACATGTAAATATTTTCTAAATATATACTGTATGTGTGTGTCTTTATATATACATAATACATACAGTACACACACATATATATTGTAAACAAACTTTTATTTCGGATGCAATTAATCGCGATTAATCGTTTGACAGCACTAATCCATTTGCTTTATTTGACATCCTTCATTGTATATAATTGTAATTATTATAATTAATATTAGAAATACTGTCTGATGCTGTCATTATTTATTTTATTGTATTTATTTTCTCTCATTTATTACTCATTTATTGTCTCCTTTATTACTTTGGTGGTGTAAAATATTCTGTATTTTACACATCTAAAATGCTTTGGCAATACTGTAACACAAATGTCATGCCAATAAAGCAACTTGAACTTGAGAGAGAGAGAGTGATTGGAGGAGGGGCGGAGCTTAAGGATATGTAAAGAAAGAGGAGGAGCTATGTAAAGGGGCGTGGCCTCACCTCTTATCGCTGTCCTCATCTTTGACTCCGGCTGTTTGCGGAGACGCTGGATCTGACGGGACTCTCTGGAGAACCAGCACGTCTTGACCCCTCTCCTTCAGACAGACGCGCACAACGCCCTCGCCCTGCACCTGAGAGAACGACACACAACCGAATCACTCACTGAGTCACAGCAAAAAATTGTTACACATCAAAACACAATGCCTTCAATCTTACTGAAATAGACACTGAAGAAATTCATTCAAACAAATGAACATTCTGTCATTTAGACTGGCTATGTGAACTGAATCAACTCAAAAGAATGAGTCATTCATGAATCGTTCATAATACTCATGAATATGTTAAGAAAAACTAGAATGAATATCAAGATCTTCAGTAAACACCATTTAAAAAAACACATCAAAACACAATGTTATCTTACTTAAATAGATACTGAAGAAATAGTTCATTCAAAAAATGAACATTCTGTCATCATTTAGACTGGCTATTTAAACTGAATCAATTGATTCAATATTTGACTCAAAAGAACGAATCATTCATGATTTACTCATAATTACTTCTCCTGAACATTCCAAAAGAAACTAGGGCAAATATTAAGATCTTCGGTGAATAGTGACTTAAAATTCAACATGTTTGTCATACAATACAATACAAAGACTTTGGCAGCAAAGTGTCTAAGAGACAGAGAACCAAATCACTTACTGATTCACAGCAACAATGAAAAAATCTAAACACAATGGTTATCTTACTTAAATAGACATTAAAGAAATATCTTTCACATCATTCATGAATAATTCATAACTGCTCATGAATATGCTAAGAAAAACTAGAATGAATATTAAGATCTTCAGTGAACAGCGACTTAAAGTTCAACTTGTTTGTTGCTTGAAGACTTGGAATAAAGCACACAAGTCATATGAACGATACTTTCCTGGTGCTTTTATGATACATTTTTTTGTAATTTCTGGAGTTTCACTTACTGACTGACACCAAAAATGAAAAATAAATAAATAAATAAAACAACAACAACGACACAATTACACATCAAAACAGTTATCTTACTTAAATAGACCATGGAGAAATAATTCATTAACAAATGAACAATCTGTCATCGTGTAGTCTGGCTATGTGAACTGAATCAACTGAATCAACTCAAATGAATGAATCAATCATGAATAATTCATAATGTAAGAAATTATAGTCTGCCTCGACCAAACTTCCACTCCAATTAAACACACGACTAGAAATCAGTGGTTAAGTTGTATTTACAACACTGTTCCAGAACAGTTCAACCCAAATATTCAGATGTGTGCAGCGCATTTTATGGAGGACTGTTTCCTGATCCTGGGAGAGTAGACTACAATGCCGGCTGTTCTGACTCAAAGACTGTAAGTACGTCTTTTATATTTAAAGAGTTTTTATATTTTATCTATTTAAAGACAGTATAAGTCATTATAATCCATAATTATGTCCCCACTGGATGCAACGAATGCCTCGTTTATAATGCGCTTTCATGTTTTTGAATCATCGCTCCGGCCGGACACGGCATCACAGTATGGTAAGGGGCGTAACATTTCCATCACATGCTTGAGGAATTCATCCAATCACAACGCACTGGATAGCTGGCCAATCACAGCACACCTCGCTTTTAGGCCGATGAGCTTTGTAAAAATCGGCGCATTTCAGAAAGGCGGGTGATAGAGGAGAAACAATAATGTACAGTATGTGGAAAATAATCAGGTTTGCATGCAAATATATCACAGCGTGTATTTCTGTCGCCAAACCCGGCAAGTTTCCACATGCATTTCTGTCACACTCAAACTCTCACTTTCAGTTTCAATTAAGCAGCACGTCATTAGGGAGAAATGAGAGTCATTACACTCAGAATCAATTCGGCCTGTTCCTCTTACAAATATCAAATGAACTTGAAATCAATTCTTGCTAAATGATCCTATGCATTTACAAATGAATCAAAGGCTAACTCAATCAGTGTTTGCTGATGCTCTGAACAGCGTTTCAGTCACACACCTGACGTGTTTGTGTATGTTTCAGACGAGTCTGGACAGCAGCGTTTGAGGAAGATAAAAGACAGGAAAGGGATTAGGAATATCTGAGACGTCTCTCACACACACACACACCTGCCACACAGGTGAGAATCACGACACACACATTCAGATGCACAGCGGTTTGTTGCACAAAAGAAAGACGCACATCCGTGGCATCAGAAGGCTTTGTGTTTGAAATCCGGCTTGCATCACAGACTTAATGTGGCCTGCAGGTGCAGATACTTCAAATACTATACACTGAAGACTATTAAAAAACCTGTTCTGCGACATGTTGAATAATCACATATAATCACAATAATTTTGCAATTAAATCAAGCGACATCTTGAACATCTGATTCATCAGCGCACATCATTTTAAGTAAACAAAAGACTAATGCAAAAAAGTAAAATACAGTAAAAATCTATGTGAAAATAAGTTTTTACTTCACACAATGATTTAATCATTTTCATTTATATACATTAATATACCACTACATAAACAGCACTTATCTGCATACACTACTGTTGAAAAGTTTAAGATTTCTCTTCTGCTCACCAAGACTGCATTTGATTAAAAATACAGTAAAAACATCAAAAAGTATTTCAATTTAAAATAGCTGTGTTCTATGTGAATATCTGTTAAACTGTAATTTATTGCTGTGATCAAAGCTGAATTTTCAGCATCATTATTATCAATGCTGCTTCATATGTTTGTGGAATCTTTGATACATTTTATTTTTCAGGATTCACAGATGAATAGAAAGTTCAAAAGAACAGCACTTACTTGAAATAGAAATCTTTTATAACATTATAAACGTCTTTACCGTCACGTTTGATCAATTTAATGCGTCCTTATTGAATGAAAGTATTAATTTCTTTAAAAAGAACCCCATATTTGAATTGGTAGTGTTTATATTTACAGTTTTTTAATGAAATAATACTGCTCTGAAAACGGTAATTTCAAAGCGAACACATAAATATTAATACTGAAACATTTGTAAGCTACACAAAAATATACTGTGCAAATAAATCACAATGACAACAGGTAAATTTAGAAATGACAGCTGTCCAGATGTCTGTAAATACTGGTGTGATCAAAACGAACAGCTGCAGTTTGAGTCACAACATTAAAACAGGACTCTCATTAAAAACAGACGTGTCTGTGAGCATCCTCTGGCCTGACTCATTCTCTGACTGAACACCTTCACAGGTGAGGGAGGTCACAAGCTCCGCCCACACGTCTGAGTCTGTCTGTCTGGGAGCAGGTGGGCGGAGTCAGACAGGTGATGACACGCTGTAATGCAGGTCATCTGAACTCCTGCAAGGGTGTAAGTTTAACACGGTTTCGAAAGAAATGAGAATGTGATGATGAATGACTCCAACATAAAGACTGAATTCAATTAAAATGGAAATTTTGTGGCTTTTAGTCGATGTTCATTAGCTTTGAGTGCATCTACATGACCGTTCAAAAATTTGGGGTCTGTAAGATTTTGTAATTTTTTGAAAGAAGGCTCTTCTGCTCACCAAGGCTGCATTTATTTGATCAAAAATACAGTAAAAACAGTAAAATTGTGAAATATTTTGCCAATTTAAAATAGCTGCTTTCTATGTGAATATCTGTTCAAATGTAATTTATTTCTGTGATGCGCAGCTGAATTTTCAGCATCAGTCTTCAGTGTCACATGATCTTCAGAAATCATTCTAATATGCTGCTCAAGAAACATTTCTGATTATTATCAGTGTTGGAAACAGTTGTGCTGCTTCATATTTTTGTGGAAACTGTGATACATTTTATTTTTTAAGATTCACAGATGAATAGAAAGTTCAAAAGAACAGCACTTACTTGAAATAGAAATCTTTTATAACATTATAAACGTCTTTACCGTCACGTTTGATCAATTTAATGCGTCCTTATTGAATGAAAGTATTAATTTCTTTAAAAAGAACCCCATATTTGAATTGGTAGTGTTTATATTTACAGTTTTTTAATGAAATAATACTGCTCTGAAAACGGTAATTTCAAAGCGAACACATAAATATTAATACTGAAACATTTGTAAGCTACACAAAAATATACTGTGCAAATAAATCACAATGACAACAGGTAAATTTAGAAATGACAGCTGTCCAGATGTCTGTAAATACTGGTGTGATCAAAACGAACAGCTGCAGTTTGAGTCACAACATTAAAACAGGACTCTCATTAAAAACAGACGTGTCTGTGAGCATCCTCTGGCCTGACTCATTCTCTGACTGAACACCTTCACAGGTGAGGGAGGTCACAAGCTCCGCCCACACGTCTGAGTCTGTCTGTCTGGGAGCAGGTGGGCGGAGTCAGACAGGTGATGACACGCTGTAATGCAGGTCATCTGAACTCCTGCAAGGGTGTAAGTTTAACACGGTTTCGAAAGAAATGAGAATGTGATGATGAATGACTCCAACATAAAGACTGAATTCAATTAAAATGGAAATTTTGTGGCTTTTAGTCGATGTTCATTAGCTTTGAGTGCATCTACATGACCGTTCAAAAATTTGGGGTCTGTAAGATTTTGTAATTTTTTGAAAGAAGGCTCTTCTGCTCACCAAGGCTGCATTTATTTGATCAAAAATACAGTAAAAACAGTAAAATTGTGAAATATTTTGCCAATTTAAAATAGCTGCTTTCTATGTGAATATCTGTTCAAATGTAATTTATTTCTGTGATGCGCAGCTGAATTTTCAGCATCAGTCTTCAGTGTCACATGATCTTCAGAAATCATTCTAATATGCTGCTCAAGAAACATTTCTGATTATTATCAGTGTTGGAAACAGTTGTGCTGCTTCATATTTTTGTGGAAACTCTGATATATTTTATTTTTTAAGATTCACAGATGAATAGAAAGTTCAAAAGAACAGCATTTATTAGAAATAGAAACCTTTTCTAACATTATAAATGTTTTTACTGTCACTTTTGATCAGTTTAATGCATCTTTGTTGAATTAAAAGTATCCATTTCTTAAACACAAAACAATATATATATATTTATACTACAAAAATTTAAAATGTGTAGCTCTTAAACAAATACCTGGGTCATATTTCATACTGACATTTTTTTTAAGAAAATAAGAAAATAAGACCTTTAAAATGTAATACATTCAGTCACTATTTTCATAAATATAATGTTTCTTGTACCAAACTTAATTTATGGTGACTTGAATTTAAAAAATGATGTTTCCTATTCCTAACAGGTTTTATCAGCTTCACTTTAGTTGTGTTATAGTTTTGGCATCTGTGATGTAAACGAAACATTATTAGCCATTTTAAACACAGAACAAGTCCTTCGAATACATTCAAACCCAACTTCCTTTCCTCATCAAGAAATACGTCAACATGAAGCAGCAAGCATTTCATGCAGTCAAAATCTGTGAAACGTAAGAAATGACAACAGCCCATTGCTATCGACGCTCAAACCGCCCACAGGCTTCCAAACCCTGGACAAAATGTTCTGGAACATGTTCACTAAAATATACAATATCCGTCAGCAGCTCAAACTCTCTTCCATCACCTTCAGTCGAGAGAGACAGTGAGCGATGATTGGTCACTTCAGCCGCCCTCCCGCGGCGCACAGGATGCTGGGCCGCCGCAGGAGTCGTCTGTCAATCACCAGCCCGCCGGGACGGGAAACAGATGGATTATCTACATCCAGACAGACACAAACATGACCTCTGGCCCCCTAACAAAGGTCACGACCTCCTCGGAATTCACTGTTACTTCACCCAGAATTCAAATTCCAAAAAAAAACTCCTGAAGATTCCAAAAATACTTCCGGTCTGACCGCAAATGACTCAAACCGGAACAAACGCGGAGTGTTTCCCAAACATTCCCGAGACGCTCCGAAACAAGCGCGGATATCAGATGGAGTCTGCGCTGCTCTCCCTGCAAATGTGCTTATAAAAAACAACACTAATGAGATTTTACTGCAGTTACGCAATTCCACAGAAAAACACCTACATTTGCGAACAGCAGGCCAGAGGCTGCTGGGAAAAAATGTTGGCGATGCAAACAATAACAAACAGTTTATCTGCAGTTTCCAAAATCAACTATTATGTGTGCTCATTTTGAAATAGCTGGCAGTGAGAGCGTTATGTAACAGAAGCGGTACATTGTGAATGTTTGAATGAGTCTCACAGGATCTGCAGGGACACAATAATAAAATAAAAATAAAGCATGCCTGTGAGGATGAATCTGGACTGAAGATGCAACAGGAAAGTCGATTATACTGTTTGGCGTCATATTTAACCACAGAATGACGAGACTGACCAATCACAGTGAAGTATTTCAGAGATAATGAGGGTTCAGCGCTCAGAACCCAGAACCAGCAGCTAAAGCAGATTATATCATAACCACATCAGACCTTCCCATCCTCCAGTTCCTGTAGGAAAAGCCCATCTCTGCTTCTCCAGGACGTTACCTCTGCTCTCGTCTTCCTCTCAGTCTTACATTTTATTCATTTAGAATATTTTTTGAAAGAAATAAATACTTTTATTCGGCAAGGATGCATTATAATATAATGTATATATAATATAATGTTACAATTTACACTATATAATATAATATTACAAGACATTACAAATATAATATTACAAAATATATAATTAACATTATATTTCAAATAAATGCTTTCTGAAGGATTCTGAATGATTTCTGAAGATCATGTGACACCGAAGACTGGAGTAATGATGCTGAAAATACAGCTGCGCATCACAGAAATAAATTACATTTTAACATTTATTCACACAGAAAACACGTTATTTTAAACTGTAATAATATTTAAACTGTATTTTTGATCAAATAAATGCAGCCTTGGTGAGAAGAGACTCTTTCAAAAACATTACAAATAAAAATGTTTATTTATTATTTAATTTATAAATCATTTTTTAATGCTTCATATGCATAATTTCTTCTTTTTTTTCTAAGAAAGAGTCACTAGCTAAGCGGTTGCATTAAACTACAGAGTGCATTGCTCAGATAATGACAGATGTGGAGGATCAGCGGGACAGAGGTGTGTGTTTAAGTCTCCACCTGTCCTGTGGGTCAGGGGTTGAGGTTGGTTCTCACGCTGGGTGGAGATCGAGTCTAGAGACCTCAGCACAGAGAGCACAGGAAAGCCAAGAGGAAGCACTCAGTGTTTCCTTCCTGCGTTTCTGCACATAGAGCGATAGTGTGTGTGAGTGTGTATGTGTGAGTGTGTGTGTGAGAGTGTGCAACAGGAAAGTCGATTATACTGTTTGGCGTCATATTTAACCACAGAATGACGAGACTGACCAATCAGAGTGAAGTATTTCAGAGATAATGAGGGTTCAGCGCTCAGAACCCAGAACCAGCAGCTAAAGCAGATTATATCGTAACCACATCAGACCTTCCCATCCTCCAGTTCCTGTAGGAAAAGCCCATCTCTGCTTCTCCAGGACGTTACCTCTGCTCTCGTCTTCCTCTCAGTCTTACATTTTATTCATTTAGAATATTTTTTGAAAGAAATAAATACTTTTATTCGGCAAGGATGCATTATAATATAATGTATATATAATATAATGTTACAATTTACACTATATAATATAATATTACAAGACATTACAAATATAATATTACAAAATATATAATTAACATTATATTTCAAATAAATGCTTTCTGAAGGATTCTGAATGATTTCTGAAGATCATGTGACACCGAAGACTGGAGTAATGATGCTGAAAATACAGCTGCGCATCACAGAAATAAATTACATTTTAACATTTATTCACACAGAAAACACGTTATTTTAAACTGTAATAATATTTAAACTGTATTTTTGATCAAATAAATGCAGCCTTGGTGAGAAGAGACTTAAGTAAAACTGGAGTCTCCGCGTCTCCAGACATCATCCTGGTTTACGTAAGGCCTGAAACCACACGGTCATGAAGAGGGAAAAGAAGCAATGCAACACTTCTGTCCAAATCAAACATGAGATGTATAATGTGACTCCAATAACAGCGACGGATCTGGAGAACTGTATCGCTATCAGGAGACATGGAGAACATTACTTTAATGCAAAGCAGTTGGTGTTCTCTCTTTCAGAACAAAAGCTCTATGCTTGACTAAACCCATTTTCAATCAAAACTAATGGCATTTTGCCATAATTGTGCCAAAAAATCAGTCATCAAAGACATAAGATTATTCTCCTGTGACATCAGCTTATACAACTCTCTCTGGTTCTTCAGAAAGCAGGACTCCAGAAGTGTTTTAGAAACACCTCAACAGGTTGCTATCCGGTGAGTTTCCTCACCTGACCTCCTCATGTGACCCCTGACCTGCTGTCGCCATGCCAACAGGCTCAGGTGCGAGCGAGGGCTGTCCTACCTGAGCGGAGCGGTCCGGGAGCCGGTAGTTCTGGTTCTGGAGGAACCGATAGCCGTCTTTGGCCAGCCGCTGGACCATCTCCATCCGCGAGAGGTCATCTGGAGCCCGGAGGCCACAGACGCCCGCCTGCTGCAGAGAAAACAGATACTTCAATCCACAGTCCCACGACATCACAGTTACTGCCAGAGACACGGAGAACACACATCCATGCTCTCGCTCGTTCATCTGCGTGAGTCACTTTCCTCTGGAAGAGACTCGGAACGCATTGAGAGTGTGTTTGAGGGACAGAGGGGGAGGGGCGTGCCTGTGTGGCTCCGCCCACCAGAGGCGGAGACAGATGATTGACAGCATCTACAGTACACCTTAGAGAACGAGAGAGACTTTGGGTGCTTTACTACTTGTAAACATACTTTGTATTTATTTGTTGTGGAAAAACAACTATTTTAGCATTTTGTACAAACAAACACCAATATTGTTGTCATTATAAAATGAGATAAAACAAACTAAAATGATCAAAAACATAAATAAAGCTGAAATAAAGCTGACTTTAAATAAAATATAAACAATAGATGAACAACTTAGAGTAAACAAAAATAAAAAATGCTTCCTTGCCAAGTAACTGAAATATCCCCACTGGATGCAGCAAATGCCTCGTTTATAATGGGTTTTCATGTTTTTGTGTCGTCACTCCGGCCGGGACAAGGTATCACAGTATGGTGAGGGGCGTAACATTTCCGTCTCACGCTTGAGGTATTCGGCCAATCACAACGCACTGGATAGCTGACCAATCACAGCACACCTCGCTTTTCAGACCGATGAGCTTTGTAAAAATCGACGTGTTTCAGAAAGACGGGGCATAGAGGAGAAACAATAATGTACAGTATGTGGAAAATAATGTGTTTTTTTAACTTTAAACCGCATAAACATTTCATTACACCAAATACACAAAATAATGTTCTTTTTAGCAGCATGACCCCTTTAAGCTAAAGCACTAATTGGAAATAAATAAAAACTAAAACTAAACCAAAACTGAAATAAAAAAAATAATAAAACTTAACTACAAAAGAACTAATAAAACTAATAAAAATGACAAAACCACAAAATTACTACAAATGTAACTAAAATTAAACAAATAAACAAAGATCCTTCAAACTTCAAAACTGAATGAAAACTAAAAATTTAACTCAAATAAAAATAAATTAAACTTAACTAGTAATATTTAAAAAAAAATTTTTTTAACTCAAATTAAACTCAAAACTGAAAATAAAAGTTTTATTAAGATTTATTCAAAATATTAATTAACTTATAATGGTAGTTTATGTTGTGTTTATTTTAAATTGTAAATTCTTATTTGCATTGATAAAAATACTGAATGTAAAACAAATAAAGTAAAACTTAAAGCTATATAGAAATATTAACAAAAAAACAAGGAAATGAAAAAAGCATGTAACAATTACTATAACTACAATGAAAACTGAAAATATTAAAAATGAAAGCTTATTCAAAATATGAATCAATTAAAAACACAATTCTTCAGAAAATGTACAAACACAGTATTCAATATTGCCTTTTTCTGTACTTTTAGTATTTTACAGCCTGTCAATGTATTTTTGTATTTTACAACTGTATTTTACAGTTTTATATGTGAATAATCCTGCCAATAAAGCTTTGTCTCTATTTTTGAGAGAAGCCTTATAGTTAGCTAAATAATAATAATAAATAAAAATAATTTTGATTAATTGAAAGAGTTGAAATAAAATAAAAAATATTTACTTTAATTTAATTTAATACAAACTAATTATTTTTACAATAATATTTATTTAAAATGTTGAATAACTACTAATACAATTAAATAAACATAATATCTTTGTTGAACTGAAAAGAACTAATGGAACAGCGAGAAGTATCCTGCAAATTTGCATGAAAATTATCATGTATTTATTTAAAATAAATAATAATAAAAACTTTCTAAACCATTACTTTTACATTATACTTTTATATGTATATTTAAAATATTACAATAAAATACTAAAATAATTTAAATAAGTGAAAAAGATTTATTTTTACAAAATAATTCATATAACAATAATATCCTCGCGTAAACCATAAAGAATGAATGCAAGAACACAACAGCCACAACATTCAGCTCATCAAGAAGCAACACACTTAAACAGCATGAATCGCATTGTAATACTTTAGTTTTGTGTCTCGTATATTTTTGCTATATCATTCAGTAAGACACACTTAAGATATCAGGAGAACCCTAGCGAGTAAGAGGTGCATGCAAACAGGTCTGTGTGACTCGTATTGTCTTCATTAAACGTGAATATGGAGTTTGAGACTGAAACTGAATGTGCAGCACTGGCAGATGATACTGCAGAGCAGGAGATAACGAGAGCCAGACAGAGCTGTTAATACCTTGACTGTAATTATGGGCTAATGAGCGTCCACTAACCACAGAAGAGAACTAATCAGATCCCAGCCTGCTTCACAACACACACACACACACACACACACAGACAGACTCACACACATACACACACTCACGCACGCACGCAGTGTGGTAGTGTGAGCTGCTCAGATGTCGCTGGACGGGGTGCCCTTGCTCTTGCGGCCGGGCAGAGGGAAGGCGGACTTGCTCTGCGGCTGAGTGAGGCGGCTGGTGAGGCTGGTGAAGGGCTCGATCAAAGAGCTTCTGTCTGTGACCGTCACCTCCCAGAGTTTGAGCTTCTCGCCACGAGCCCACTGCTGCGCCGCGTCCTGATCCACCTGCCTCCGCTCGTGCAGGTCACACTTATTCCCCAGCACCATCACCATCACCTGCACACACACACACACAGACAGACACACACAGACGGACACTCACGCACACACACACAGACAGACAGACACACACACACACACACACACACACACACAGACGGACACTCACGCACACACACACACACACACACACATACAGACAGCCACACACACACAGACAGACACTCACGCACGCACTCACTCACACACACACACACACACACAAACACAGAGAGAGAGACACACAAACACACACACACACACACAGACACACACACACACAGGCACAGAGAGAAACACACACACTCACTCACTCACTCTCTCTCACACACACACAGACAGACACTCACGCATGCACTCACTCACACACACACACACACACACACTAACACAGAGAGAGAGACACACAAACACACACACACACACAGACACAGAGAGAAACACACACACTCACTCACTCTCTCTCACACACACAACACACACACACACACACACTGACACTGACACACACACACACACACACACTCACGCATGCACACTCACGCACGCACACACACACACTAACACAGAGAGAGAGAGACACACACACACAGAGACACAGAGAGAGACACACACACTCACTCACTCTCTCACACACACACACACACACAAACACACACACACACTCAGTGAGTCCCTGTGAACTTCATTAGCTTGATATGGTGATGCAAACCGACCTCAACACTTCCTGTCCCTCACACAGCAACTTCCTGCTGGTCAACAACAGTTACGCAAGACCATTAGTGTGTTACTCTGAGACCAGACCATCAATCATTCAGATCCAGAGTAAGAGCTTTCCTACGTTTGAAGACACAAAGAGACCTTGACTACTTCCTGATGCCCACTCCCTCTCTAACACACACACACACACACACACACACACACTCACACTCGCTTTATGAAATACACATGACTGCACATGTAATCTCATGTACTTTCAAATATGCCCACAAATGTCTAAACAAGCATGTAAACCTCATGAAAAGCAAGTTCACAGTGAATGAAGACGCTCTTGCTCTCCATGAATCACCGGAACGTCAATCTGTAGATGTCTGAATGTCATTTTATAGGTGTTTTTGAGAACACATTTTTTATGTTTTTGTAAGTCTCTTCTGCTCACCAAGGCTGCATTTATTTGATTAAAAATACAGTAAAAACAGTATTATTGTGAAATATTTTTACGATTTCAAATTAATGTTTTCTATGTGAATATCTGTTAAAATGTAATTTATTTCTGTGATGCGCAGCTGTATTTTCAGCAGCATTACTCCAGTCTTCAGTGTCACATGATCTTCAGAAATCATTCTAATATGCTGATTTTTTATTAAAATAGAAAACGATTATTTTGTAATTGTAATAATATTTCACAGTATTACTGTATTTTTCATCACATAAATAAGAGACTTCTTTCAAAAACATAAAAAGCTTAATTATTAAAAACGTTTTTTTGCAGTGAAATAGCATTTTTTTTTTTACATTTTTGTACATAGTTTTACAAGTTCATGTAAAAAAATAAATAATAATTTAAACTCAGAACAATATTTAATGTCCATTTATTTATTTGCCAAGCAGCCACTTCACATCACATTTTTTTTTTTTTTATAATGACCATTTGCACAATTTCCCTTATGTATTTTTTTATGAGAAAATGTAATGTATTACATTATTAATGTTGCTGTCCATTTGTCTGCCCATTGCCTTTTATTTATGGCATTTGGCATGTTGTAACACGTGTGTTGGTTTACTTCCTGCCTGCTGCATTATATATGTTAGCATGTTAAACTGAAGCATGCTGCATAACTAGTGTAATTCATAGTCACCATATCACTGATCAAGCTATATTTTCAATATGCAAAAATATCAGAATATAACTGAGGCTTTATGGAAGTGAGGTAAAAATGGCCACCAAGAGACGTTGTCATTTATAACATTTATCAAACAGAATCATAAAAATAAAGACAAAGATATACTGTGTTAAATATGTTTAAAGTGATGATATAAGTAGCCTAATAATAGCTAAAGAAATAAAAGGTACTTTAAAAAAAATAGATTTAAAGTGATGATAGAAGGAAATAAATGTAGGGTTATTTATTTATTTATTTGTTTGCTTTAAATATTTATTTTGGGCTACATTTATTAGATCTACATAAAGGCAAAATAGCCATAATAATAAAAAAAAATTTAAAAAAATAATAATAATAATTTTTAAAATATATTAAAAATATTTATTTTGGGCTACATTTATTATATCTAAATAAAGGCAAAATAGCCAGAATAAAAAAATAAAAAAATAAAATTAAAATAAAATAATTGGTTTTTAAAATATATTTAAAATATTTATTTTGGCCTACATTTATTAGATCTAAATAAAGGTGAAATAGCCAGAATAAACTTTTAAAATAAAATAAAATAAAACAAAATAAAATAATTTATTTTTAATATATATTTTAAATATTTATTTTGGATTAATTTACCTAACAAAACAAACAAACAAGTCATTTTTATTTATTTTAAATATATATCTGAGCTAAATTGATTTTATATAAAGGCAAAACGTCCCAAAAAAAAAACTTTTAGATAAATAAACAAACAAATAAATATATCAGCTTTTATATGGTTACTTTTATCACCACTTTACATTTAAAGAAAAACATACCTTTTATTTCTTTAGGAGTAAAATATTTGAATGAGGAATAAATGTATGCAGTGCATCTTTGAGAGTAAGTCAGATGTATTTGTGTGTGTTTACCTTGCTTCTGTCTTCAGTGGGCTTCAGCGGTTCTTGAGGAGAAGCGTCTGATGCCTCCGAGCTTTCGTCTTCTGACACTAGAGTAAAAATGACAAGTGCACAGACAATTACCAGTGAAATCAAAAATAAATCAATTATGGTTGTTCTGTTGCAAACACACCTTGACTAAGTGAAGAAACATGGTTTGATATGACCGCTATAAGTATAAAAGCATCTTACTTGACTTCTTGGCTTTCCTGGCGAGAGCAGCAGCGAGTTCATTCTGCACCTGAGGTAAAAACACACAAGAGCACAGTGTCTTTGGTTCATTCTGCATGCAGAAGAGCTCATCAGAGGACCTCTAGAGCAAAGACAGCAGACAGCAGGGGCTCATGGGATACTGGAGGAGGACAGCTGTGTGGAGATGAACACTGACTCAACACTCAGATACCAGCTAGACATGTAACCTATATCACAAGGAATCATCAGAACGCAGTATAGACTATCAAAGCTGAGCATCTGTGTTTATTTGACATGTATTGTTCCAGTGATGCAGCTAATAATCAGGCTGATTTACAGGGTAATGCATTATGTTTCAGGGCTAATACATAACACATATTTTTATTTTTATTTATTTAATAATGGCATAATCAGTAATCAGTAGGCAATATATTTATATTAGTGCTGTCAAATGATTAATCGCATCCAAAATAAAAGTTTCTGTTAACATAATATATATGTGTGTGTACTGTGTATATTTATTATGTGTATATAAATAGACACACATGCATGTATATGTTTAAGAAAAAGATGTTATGTTTACATATTAAATATATTTATATATAATATAAATTATATAAATATAAATATATACTGTATGTGTGTGTATTTGTATATACATAATAAATATACACAGTACACACACACATATATATTGTGTAAAAAAACTTTTATTTTGGATGCAATTAATTGCGATTAATCTTTTGACAGCACTAATTTATTTGAATAAATAAATGTATATAATATATTATATTTTATTATATTTGTTTACACGTACATACCATCTGAACACACCTATCTATCTATAACGTTTAATTGTATTTATTTATTAAATTTTCTGGCATAAAAAAATAATTGAAAAGCTCTCTTTTGTATTTCATCATTGAACGTTTTCAAATTATTTTTTCATTTTTTTAAGAAAGGGACAGACGTATCATGTGCAAATTAGGTCAAACATTTTAAAAATTATATTCAAATAGAAATTTAAAAGGAAAAGCACAAATAGATAAAACAATGAGGAAAAGTAATGCAAAAGAAACTAAAATTAGTCATGTTCCTCATCATTAGTCATTTCCATTAAGACAGATGAATTAGATGAGTACAGTAATTCATTAATTGAAGGAATATGACAATGGACCCTTTTCACAAGACTGTGACGGTCATCAGCTTCGTAAATCCTCGAAATGTTTTCATATTTGTATTTTTTTTTACATACGGGAGGGACGGTATATTTGACATCGTTCTCTCGTCTGACTGCCGTTATCAGCCTCTCTCAATTTTTTTTCCTTTTATTGAAAATCGTGAAAACACTATCTTGAGGTTTTTCTTTTGCTATTTGAGCAGCTGGGAATGCAAAAAAATATATTTGTGGTACTCTCCCATGCACTGCTCTCGAAGTTAACCCAACTATGACGACTTCCGCTGCTGAGAAACCCGGGAACGTGAAAAGGGTCCATAAACCGTAATCAATTTGTAGCTAATATATTTATTTCAATATATTTGTTTAAAATATTA